CACATAAACATCCATGAGGCCCGGGGTTCAACCTGCAGTACTATAAACACACACACACACACACACAGAAATAGAAATGCCTCTTTATTAAATCTGTATTAATGACCACAGAGACAAGGTGGTCTATGTTAATATATGCCAAGTTGAATGTAACAAAAATTATCACTTGGCATAAATATGCAGGCCAGAAGGATTTTAACTAGACAAAATATATAACTGAAACCAAATATGGTAACTTGCACTAGAAATCCCAGCCTTGATCAGAGGCAGCCATGCTACATGAGACCCTGTGTCAAAGAGGAGAAAACAAACAAACAAACACAGAAGACGAGAAAGAAAGAAAAGAAAAAATGATTCAACACAAATAGCACAGTACAGAAGACTTAACTACTTCAGAAAAAGTATGGGAGAGCAAAGTGGTGGTGGTGCACGCCTTTAATCCCAGCACTCAGGAGGCAGAGGCAGGCAGATCTCTGTGAGTTCGAGACCAGCCTGGTCTACAGAGCTAGTTCCAGGACAGGCACTAAAGCTACAGAGAAACTCAGTCTCAAAAACAAACAAACAAACAAACAAAGGAAGGAGGGAAGCAAGCAAGAAAGAAAGGAAAATTATGGGAGAATTAACCGCTCACGGAAAAGTCTATACCCAGAATATGACTCATTTGGGAAACAATGAGAAATATATAACGTGACAGAAAATCCCCGTCATGAACAGAACCTTACTCAGCCACTTCTCACATTTATTGTTCCACAAACTTGAAACCAAACCCTAATTGATGCTATAATAAAGTCTATCCGCAGAAGATGACACAGGAGTGAGTTGCAGCTGACATTTTAGGAAATCAACAGGGCAACAAGACAGCAGTAAGAAACTAGTGCTTTCCCTTAGGAAGGCTACCCTAAACTCTACTTGATGATACAAGCCTGGAATCGCGGCACACAGAAGGCTGGGGCACAGGGGTCACAAGCTGGAGGCCAATTGGGCTACACAGTAAGACTCTACCTTCAACACCGCTCCTTGCCCCCCAAAACATAGCCTCCTGAGGCTAGAGATGAAGCTCAGTGGTAGAGTACTTAGTTAGCATGGCAAAGCCCTGGACCTGATCCCTACTACTGAGCTCCACTACCATGGACAGAAAGTAGAGTTTGCTAGCACTGCCTACATTCATATGTACTTGAGCCTACAAGAACACCAATATTAAGGATAACTAACCCTGCGGTGGAACAATCTTTGTACACTGTAAATATGTATTACTCTCATTAGTTAATAAAGAGCTGACTGGCCTATAGCCGGGTGGGAAGAGATTGGATGGGAGAACCAGACTAGGAGGACACTGGGAAGAAGGGCAGAGTCTCAGGAGTTGCAAGACAGAGGAAACAGGACGTGTAGAAAATGAGGCAACAAGCCATGAGCCACGTGGTAGAACTTAGATAAGAAACATGGGTTGATTTAGGTTGTAAGAGCTAGGCAGTAACAAGACTAAGCTTTCAGCAGAGCATTTATAATTAGCATTAAGTCTGTGTGGTTACCTGGGAGCCAGCTGGCAGGACAGAGCAGATAGGCAGCCCCGAAAAAAAACTTGCCTACAAACCACCACAAATTTTTCAATTTTATATTTTATTATTATTAGTGTGTGCTTGTGTGTATGTACGCATGCTATGGGTGCATTAGTATGCATGCCACAGTATACATGGAGGCCAGAGGAGCTCCCTAAGGTAGAGTAGAGGAACTCAGGTCCTCTGGAAGAGCAGTACAGGCTCTTTACCACTCGGCCATCTTTCTAGTCCCGCTTCGTGTCTTCAGTCTCAATACGTCCCCTGGCCCAGCCTAGTCTTAACTTCTCATCTTCAGGCCTCAACTTGTTTTTTAACTTATTTATACCACATGTATGCCGGTATCCGAGGAGGCCAGAAAAGGTAACAGTGCAGACAGTTGTGAGCTGCCATGTGGGTGCCGGAAATGGAACCCGAGTCCCTTGCAAAAACAGCCAGTGCTCTTAACCACTGAGCATTTCTCCAGCCCCAGGCCGCATCTTCTTGAGTGTTAAGATTAATGGTGTCTATCAACACACTAGACTTCATGTTTAGACTTTAGATTTAGTTTTAGGTTTTTTTTGTTATTTATCTTTATGTGTGTGTGAATATATTCCATATGCAGGTGCCAAGGAGGACAGAGAACTAGATCTTATCTTTGGGTTTCTACTGCTATAATAAAACGCCATGACCAAAAGCAAGTTGGGGAGGAAAGGGTTCATTTGGCTTACAGGTTACCATCAATGTATTTTGCATGCTACAGGCAGTTAGACTGGACTATCTACTAAAAAGAGCTTTCCTTAGTTCCTGCAATCTTATAGCATTATCATGTGTCCTGGCCAGTATTATCTTGTTTTCTTTTTTCTCACCCCCTCAAATATATATGCATGCAAAAGACTTTTTTCCGGTTTTTCAGGACAGGGTTTCTCAATAGCTATAGAGCCAGTCCTGGAACTCACTCTGTAAACAAGGCTGGCCTCGAACTCACAATATCCACCTGCCTCTGCCTCCTGAGTGCTGAGATTATAGGCATGTGCCACCACCACCCAGTCAAAAGATTACATAGCCCCAGCACTTGGGAAGCAGAGACAGGTGGATATTTGTGAGTTAAAGGCCAGCCAGGTCTACCGAGCTACTTCCAGGACAGCCAAGCCTACATAGAGGAACTCTGTCTTGAAAGAGAGAGAGAGAGAGACAGAGAGAGAGAGACAGAGAGAGAGACAGAGAGACAGAGGGAGAGACAGAGAGAGAGACAGAGAGAGAGAATGAATATAGGAAAAGAAGCTAAAAGAAGAACTTTAAACAATGATGAAGTCCTGGCCAAAACTTCTGACTTCTGTTTCTAACAGACAGGTGAAAAGGGGGCATAGCTGTCATTTTAATATTGGTTTGTCCCTATCATTATGGGTTCAGTCTCAGTACTACCAAAAAGAAAAGAAAGAAAGAACAAACAAATGAACAGGAAATTCAGGGCCCAGAGTAAAATTGAACTGGCTCACAGCCACACTCATACATGTGCAGGCCAGGGCTGTTTCATGAACAGGAAATTCAGGGCCCAGAGTAAAATTGAACTGGCTCACAGCCACACTCATACATGTGCAGGCCAGGGCTGTTTCATGAACAGGAAATTCAGGGCCCAGAGTAAAATTGAACTGGCTCACAGCCACACTCATACATGTGCAGGCCAGGGCTGTTTCGGGGCCAGCAAGGTGGCAGCTGCAATACAGACTTGCTGTGTCTCCTGGCTCCGCTGCTCCCCATCACGAACTGCAGGGATGCTGCTGTAGCTGCACAGCATCCAGCTAACAGAGCACAGCTCCCTTTCACCTCACCTGTGACACCTGTGTGTCGGACAGGGAAAGAGGGAGGAGAGGAGTCTGAATATTCTGGTTTAAGGCATGGTGGTATAAATTATTCTGTTATCAGAAGAAGGCAAAGTATAGTGTTTACTATCCTGAAATAATGGAAGATTCATAAACATCACCAGACTATAAAAACTCATCAAAATACTCCCAGTTTACACGGAATCAGTGATAAGAAAAATCAGAATATTTAAAATGGGACATTCAATACCAGCAGTATTTAAAAAAATGTAGAAAAACCCTGTCTCAAAAGAAAAGGAAGGAAGGAAACAAATGAAAACAAGACAAAGAAAGTAAGCTTCAAAGTGGTTCAGTCAGGAGCCAAGCAAGAAGAGTGACTTAAGAAGTTAATTAAATCATGCTGCATTTAATCAGACCACAAGAGAATTAAACTAAGAATCAGTAATTAAAAGACTAATGAAAATAAAATCCCTGAATACCTGGAGATTAGTTAGTATACCAGTGACACAAAAGTCAAAGAGAAAAATCTGAAGAAAAATCAAGCACTATTTTGATACAAATGAAAATGAGAACACAGCCATAAGTGGCAACAAATGCACGAGATCTTACCAACGGAAAGACAAACGCAGAGGTAAGAAAGCTAATCGACTGAGAATAGTCTGATTCTGAGCATTCCTGACCACCCATGCAGCATTCAGTAGTGGAACCTGTTGACCCCAGTGTCCCAGTACTCTAGCCGCAACCACATCCCTCCAGTAGGACTGAAGAAGTCTTAAAGTAACAAGACAGAGCTGGAAGTGCTGACCTAGGCCTTTAACCCCAGGATTCAAGAGACAGAAGCAGGTGGATCTCTGTGAGATGGAGGCCAGCCTGGTCTACATAGTTACACACCAGTCAAGTCTACACAGAGAGACCTTGTCTCAAAAACAAAGCAAACAAACAAACAAAAACCAAAGAGTTCTTTCTACTGCCTATGGATCACAATGTAATCCCAGCAGGTGGATCTCTGTGAGTTTGAGGCCAGCCTGATCTCAGAGTGAGTACCAGGACAGCCAAGTCTACACAGAAAAACCCTGTCTAAAAGAAAAAAAACCTCTCAGTTTGTTCTCCAGCACCATGTCTGCCTGCATACTGCCATGTCTCACACACACACACACACACACACACACACACACACACACGTCAGGACTAAACTCTGAAACTGTAAGACAGTCCCAATTAAATGTTTTCTTTTATAAGAGCTTCTGTGGTCATGGTGTCTCCTCACAGCAACAGAAATCCTAAGACATTTGCCAAAAAGTCTTATGACCCGAGCTGGATTTCTAGGACCCCTAGAGTGAACAGAAAGGACTCCCAAAGGTTGTCCTCTGGCCACCACACACAGTACACACCCACACAGATGCACACGTGTGAAGTAAATAAATAAGTTTTAAATGAAACAAACCAAAATCAAAATAATATAAAATGAGTACCATTAAGAGAAGCTGCAACTAGGAATGGGACAGGAGTGGGATGCGATGAGGTGATTATTCTCTATAATTAATACTGCTTGATCTTACACGTATAAATTACTTAGATGCAAATACTTCTATAAATCAAGTCCTTATCATGAGCCAATATGACCACCATAAACTAAAGACAATACCTTGGGGTGAGGGGCCTTCTTGTTTCTCCTGAGAGAGAAGTCCCAAGTAGCTGAGAACAACATACTTCGTTTCATAGTGAAATCCTACAGGCACAGGAGTAGAGGACGCCATTGAACTCGCTGAAGGAGCTCCAAAGAGGCCTATTTAAGGATGTCGGAAATCTAAAAACAAAAAGTTTCTTTCAGTTTAAAGGTGATTACAAATCAATCAACTTCCCCATTGATTCCAATTACTCACTTAACTCCCAAAGTAAATGTCTCAGCTGTTTTTTTCCAATAACCTTTTTAAGTTAACTGTTTAATTTCTATACAAACAATAACTTAACTATTCAAATAAAAAGTAAATTTTCCCTTTCTCGTTTTTTTTTTCCGTCTTTACTTGCTTTGTACTGTCTTATAGGTGGCCACACCTGCCATGGTGTGATGTGGGATTCTCCTCTGTATGTTGTGATTACCATTAATCAATAAAGAAACTGCTTTGGACCTATAGCAGTGCAAAAATTAGCTAGGCAGGGAAAACTAAACTGAATGCTGGGAGGAAGAAGGCAGAGTCAGGAAAAGCCATGGAGCCACCAGAGACAAACATGCTGAAACTTTGCTGGTAGGCCACGGCCTCGTGGTGATTCACAGATTAATGGAGATGGATTAAATTAAGATGAGCAGCCGGGAACCGACAAGTGGCCTCCCCAACAGTGGTGTACATGTGGATGCCAGAGGACAGCTTCACGGAGTCAGTTCTCCACTTTCACCTTCCATGCTTCCAGGAACCAAATTCAAGCACATTTACCCACTGGGCTAATGTAGGTGGGTCTTCTATCTATCTGTTGCTTTCACTGGTTAATTAATAAAGAAAATTGCTTGGCCTGATAGGTCAGAACATAGGTAGGCGGGGAAGACAGAACAGAATGTTGGGAGGAAGAAGGCAGTGAAGCAGTCGCCATGATTCTCGAACCCGAGACGGACGTAGGCTAGAATCTTTCCCAGTAAGCCACCACCTCGTGGTGCTACAGATTATTAGAAATGGGTTAAGCAAGATATGAGAGTTAGCCAAGAAGAGACTAGACATAATGGACCAGGCAGTGTTTAAAAGAATACAGTTTGTGTGTTGTTATTTTGGGTGTAAAGCTAGCCATGCGGGAGCCGGGCAGGACGAAAAGCAGGCCTGCTCGCCACATCACTACACTGGCCCATCTCACTGGCCCTTCCTAAATATTTCCACACGTGTAGCAAACACAATTCTGAACCCCATGCCTGTATATATCTTCTCATTTCTTTTAATAATAAGTCTCATAGTCAAGGCCTTTAATACCGGCACTCAGGAGGCACAGGAAGGCAATTTCTATGAATTGGAGGCCAGCCTGGTGTACAGAGTGAGTTCTAGGAAGCCCAGTCTCAAAAAACCACCACCAACAACAAAGGCAGTGCCTACAAATGCACTTTTCTCTACCATATAGAATAACACTGACAAAGATTATTTGGTAAACTTTGGGAAGACTTCTAAACCACCTTCCAGGTCCATCTGTGCATTTCCCTTTAAAATCTAATATTAGGGGCTGGAGAGAAGGCTCAGTGGTTAAGAGCATTTACTGTTCTTGCAGAGGACTTGGATTTAGTTCCCAGTATCCACATGGCAGCACTGACATCATAACTGTAACTCCAGTTCCAGGAGACCCAACACATAGTACATGTACATATAGCAGGCAAACATTCACTAAAATCTGTAAAAAACAAAATCTAATTTTAGCAAAATAACCTTCTGAGATTATCCAGAATAATCAATTTGGAGGTGGGGCTTTGGAGGAGGGGGCTAAGACAGAGTCTCTTTCTATACCCTGGCTGGCTTGGAACTCACTATGCAGATCAAGCTGGTCTTGAACTCAGAGATGCCTCCTGATTGATGGGATTATTAAAGTCAGGCACCACCAGCCTGGCCAGAATAATCTTTAATATCCCATCATCCTTGATGTCTAATCTCCTGGCTTAATTTTACTGAGCATGTTATTAGATGGGTTTAGTCAGACTTTCTTATGTTTAATCTTATTCTCAGTAATTCCCTGTCTACTGACTCCCATACTGTTCTTTGGCTAGAAATTCCCACTTGCCTATGCCATGTTCAGAGTTAAACCCAATCCCTATGATGTGGGAGCCCCCTCTGTGTGCTGTGATTACTATAAATGAATAAAGAAACTGCCTTAGCCTGTTGATAGGGCAGAATTTAGGTAGGCAGGGAAGACAGAACTGAATTCTGGGAGGAAGAAAGCAGAGTCAGGAGACACCATGGATCCACTGCCAGAGTAGGACATGCTGCCAAAACTTAGCCGGTAAGCCACTGCGACGTGGCGATACACAGCTTAATAGAAATGGGTTAAACTAAGATGTAAAAGCTAGCCAATAAGAAGTTAGAGCTAGGGGGCTGGAGAGATGGCTCAGCGGTTAAAAGCATTGTCTGCTCTTCCAGAGGTCCTGAGTTCAATTCCCAGCAACCACATGGTGGCTCACAACCATCTGTAATGAGGTCTGGTGCCCTCTTCTGGCCTGCAGGCATACACACAGACAGAACATTGTATACATAATAAATAAATAAATATTTAAAAAAAAAAGAAGTTAGAGCTAAAGGGCCTAGCAGTGTTTTAATTAATACAGTCTCTGTGTGATTATTTCGCTTCTGGGCTGCCTGGACGAACAAGCAGCCCTCTCCTTGCAACAGATTGGTGCCACGTGGCCAGCTAAATCCAGGTCTTGAAAAGGAATTCTAGACAAAAAAAAAAAAAAAAAATTACAGAGTTTAACACAGCTTCTTGCTGTTTGCTGGTGGCATGCCACAGCTCCTTTAAGAGAGGTTTTCCTGATTCAACCATAGCAGAAAAAAAAAGACACTGCGGGAGTTTTAAAACACAGCTTCCTAGGCTGTGCCGCCAGCACGAACTCTGGCTGTGAAGCATTTCAATGGCATCTGTGGGCCCTGGTGTATGTGTGCCCACTCAGGGTAGGGAGATAAGTAGCTGAGACCATGCTCATGGCTTGGCATTCCCTGCCTGGGCAGGTCTACTAGCGGCGACCACTGCCCAGCTACAAAATTTAATTTCCAAAATTGCAAAAACTATCCCACTCAGCTGCACTGTTACAAGTGAGATGTCAATTTAAAAATTCAGCAGATACCACTATTATTCTAGTGTTGATTGTCCCTTTCCAGTTAAGACATGCGTAATGGAACACTCTGGCTCAATCCTGTGTTAACAACTGCCCCAAAATATCTTCACTCAGCAGTTGGCATTCACAGATAATGCACTCACAGGGGAATTCCTAACATGAAACCCTCCCCCTTACACAGATTCTGACTTTCACAGTAAGTATTTTAAGCTTCCCATATAAAAGCAAAACAAAATTCAGATACAGATTATTCCACTTCTAGGTACATGCTAGAAATGTAAACATGTCTACCCAAAATTTGTACACTTTATACCTAACAGCCAAAAAAGAAACATTTTTTTTTCCTTTTTTTTTTTTCCTAGACAGGTTTTCTCTGTGGCGCTCTGGCTGTCTTAGTACTTGCTTTGTAGACCAGGCTGCCCTCAAACTCACAGAGATCCAACTTCTTCTGCCTCTCTAGCTCTGTAATTAAAGGCATGAGCCACCACGGCCACCAGCAGGAAACAACTTTCAATTTATTTAAAAAATAAGGGGGTGGCTTAATGTTCAAGAGCATGCAGTACTTTGCAGAGGATACAAGTTCAATTACCAGCACCCATGACTGGCAGCTCACATTGCAACCCCAGGAAATTCAACACCTCTGCCTCCTCTGGTGGAAATACACATCCACACAGATACACATAATTAAAAATAATCTTTAAAATAAGTATGAGTCTATATGTCTAGCTACTTGGGGAAGATGAAGTATGAGAGTCACCAGATATAAGTTTAAGACATTATCTAGCATACACCTTTAATCCCACTACTCAGAGGAGAAAGAAGCAGGTGGATCTCTTGAGTTCTAGGACAGCCTGGTCTACACAGTGAATTCCAGGACAGCCAGGGCTACACGAAGAAATCCTGTCTTGAAAAGTCAAATCAAAACAAAAACAAACAAACAAAAAAAAAGACACTGTCTGAAAAATAAAAAAATATTGGCTAGGGTTGAAGGACACGCCTATACTAGCAGCACATCGGGGGAGAAGGAACCAGGAAAATCTCAAGTTTGAGGTCACTATAGTCCACATATCAAGGTTCCATCTCAAATCCCCTCCCTGGAAAGAAACACAGTAACAAGTGGTGTGGTAGTGCACACCTTTTATATCCAGCACCCCAGAAGCAAAAGCAGGCTTTCTGTGAGTTACAAGCCAGCCAGGGCTACGTAGTAAGGCCCTGTCTTAAAAGGGGTAGGAAAGAAAGGCGTGAAAATGAAAGGGAAGTTAAAAAACAAAAACAAAACAAAAAAGGCAAGAAAGGTTCCCTAACATGTCACACATCCACACACTGCCGCACTGTACACACTGGAAGGAATAAAGTAGTGGCTCAGATTTACAGTCTCAGCACTTGGGAGGCTGAGGCAAGAGGACTGCTAAGGCCAGCCAAATGAGAGGCTGCTTTAAACAGAAGAGAAAATCAGCAGGAAAGAAGTGAAAGAAGTGAATAAAAATGGCTACCAAGCATGGTAGCATACACCCTGCCATAAAACTGTGGCAAAAGAGCAGGGCAGTGGTGGTGCACGCCTTTAATCTCAGCACTCGAGAGGCAGAGGCAGGTGGATCTCTGTGAGTTCGAGGCTAGCCTGCTGGTCTACAAGAGATAGTTCCAGGATAGGCTCCGAAGGTACAGAGAAACCCTGTCTCAAAAAAAAAAAAAAAAACTGTGTCAAAGGTATTGAAGGTTCAAGCCTGGGCCACACAGAGATTTCTCTCAAAAAGTAACAAAAGAACCATGGCCAAGTGGTATGGGGTTTCTTTTAGAAGTGATGAAAACTCCCAATAATGGTTGCACAACTCTGAGTGTGCTAAAAGTCATTATATTACACAACTGTGAATAGTACAGTAAATTAGTTATATCTCGGTGAAGCTGCCAATGAGCTGCTCTCAGCCGGCTATAGCGGAATACAACCGCAATCCTAGCACTCAGAAGACTGGAGCAATATTGCCACCAACCTGAGGCCAGACTGAGCTACACGGTGAGTTCCAGACTAGCCTGAGTGAGCTACGTACAGTGTGAGACTGTCTCATAAAAACAACAATAAAAATATCAGTTACTATTGGGCTAGGAGTGTAGCTCAGTTGTAGAGCACATAAAGCCTGAGACCTGTGTTCTACGCCCAGTTCATGAAGCAATCAACAACAAAAGGGGCTGGAGTGGATCTCAGTGAAAGCTCAGCATGCAAAGGACAGTGGATTTGATTTCTAACATAAAAACCCAACTCCTGAAAATATTACTCTAGCTCTAGATTTGAGTGGTGCAGGTGTGTAATTCCAGCCACTTGGGAGGCTGAGACAGGAGGATCACAGCTCAAGACCAGATAAGGGCTATATAGGAATACCCTGTCTAAAAAATTCTTGGTGTTGGGGCTGGAGAGATGGCTCAGGGGTTAAGAGCGTCTGCTGCTCTTGTAGAGGACCTTGGTTTGGTTCCTATCGACAACGTGGTGGTTCACAGCCATCCCCACACTCCAGTTCCAAAAGATGCTCCCTATTGTGACCTCTGCAAGCCCATGCACACACAGAGTGCACAGACACACTTACAGGCAAAACACTCACATAGAATAAAATGAATACATCTAATATAAATAAATCTTAGTGATGGGGCTGGAGAGATGGCTCAGAGGTTAAGAGCACTAGTAGCTCTTCTAGAGGTCCTGAGTTCAATTTCCAGCAACCACATGGTGGCTAACAATCATCTATAATAGGAACTTCTGTCATGCAGGCATACAAGCAGGTAGAACACTATGTACATAATAAAACATCTTGGGTGATAATTTCATTTATTTGAAATAAGATATGACACAAATTCAAGTCTGAAAACTGAAGAAAAAGTAATGAAAATATTAAATGTTTACAATTTTATACCTAAAATATTTCATAAGAAAAAATGCAAAAATAAAATTTTTTGGACAATGTGGCAAGATGGTAAATAAAGTCACTTGCTGCCAAACCTGACCAATTCCCAGAAACCACAGGATGGAAGCAGAGAACAGACGCCTACAAACTGTCTTCTGACCCCTACATCAGCTTGGGATACATAAAACCCTGGAAGGAAGGAAGGAAGGAAGGAAGGAAGGAAGGAAGGAAGGAAGGAAGGAAGGACTTCAAAATGTGTTAAAAGTTAAAGACATAGTTTTCTTTTTTTAATTTTTATTATTTTCATTATGTGCACAGGTGGGGATATGTGCACACGAATACAAAACGTCAGAGATGTGAGATCCCCTGGAGCTAGAGTTACAGACAGTTGTAAGCTGCCTGATATGGTTGCTGGGAATCGAACTCAGGTCCTCAGGAATAGTATGTGTTCTTAACCATTGAGCCATCTCTCCAGCCCCATTTATTTATTTTCTTCTTAAGACAGAGTCTAACTTTTAGCCTAAGATGGTCTCCCAGCAATCTTACCTAGCTTCCCCTATATTTACATTTACAGGAGTGCCCAAGTGTCATTTTTTTTCTTTTATAAATTGAGAAAGGTGTTTGGTGATAGCAGTAAGAGGTTAATGGCGGTGGGGATGGAAATGACAAAAATATACTACATACCTGCACAAATTTGTCAAATAATAATGCTTTTTAAAAGATGGTTGGATTTAGCCTTACACATTATTTGGCTGAATTCATTCTCCAGGGCACAAGATACAGGCCATGTTAAGATAGATGTGGCAGTTCCCTGGAATCCCAGCACTAGAGAAGATGACTTAGGAGGACTACTAAAAGTTCAAGGCTAGCCTGGACCACAGGCTGAAACCGGTTCAAAATAAACACAAAAACAAGGGCTGACTGACCAAGTGGTTCAGCAGTAAAAGCAATCTGAGTCTAATCTCCAGAACCCACGTAAACATGGAAAGAGAAAATGGACTCCCAAAGCTGCCTACTGGCTGTGGATGGTGGCACAGGCCTTGGAAAGTGAGGTCATCCTGGTCTATATAGGAAGCTTCAGGACAGTCAGGACTATATAGAAATCCTTCCCCCACACACACCCCAAAAACAAAATTGTTCACTGTCCCACACACATGTGTACCCAAACACACACCTACACCCACAGTAATAATAAATTTAACTGAATTTTCTAAAAGGTCAGGCATAGTTGGGTTACTCCTGGATCTCTATTCAAGGGAAGTAGGAGTAGAAGTTTGAGTTCAAGGCCAGCTGGGATATATAACATCAAAAACCAAAACAAAATGTTATTTTGAAGTTATTTAATGTTATTTAAGGTCTATGAGCCACCTGAAAAAAATATTTAAAATAGTACCTGATCATTCAGAGAAATGGGACTTGCAAGTCCTTATCTGCTTATTAGATACAGAATAATGATTTAAGCATTTTCAATTCGTTGATATAAACATGCAGGACACTTTAACCCAATTGTGTATATGAAATATAAGTGGTTCACCACCCACACACTTGCTTAACTTTATAGTCTGTAAAATAATTAAAAAAAAAAAGGTGGGGAGGGAGGAAAGGCATCTCAAGGGTGTGGCAATTCATGTAAGGTCACACAAGTTGGGGCAGAGAGCTCATCAACATTCTGGTTTATGCCAAGCCTCCAGGGGAAATACTGGTAATTTTACAAAACTTTTTTTAACATCAGAAAGAAGAGGAGCCTGTCAGCATAGTTCAAAACTTTTAAACGCAGAGAGCAAAACAGATCTTTCCGAAAAACACTTGTGCGTGGAACGGTGAATTGATTAACAACGCTATCAGCAAAGAGCATATGAATTTCTGGGCAGACCGTCCAATTTCTACCCCTTAAAGTCAAAGCCCCGACTTTGAAAGTCTAGGCTTCCTCTTTCACAGTATTCTAATATATGAGCAAGAAATGTGGGATCCCGTGGGAATGTGGGGAAGATTCTTGAAAAGGAAAAGACGAGTTAGTGTGAATGGTATCTATCGCCTCCATAGGGGAAGAAGGCCCATTGGTTTGGTTTTGTCTTGGGGGGCGGCGGTGGTGTGGGAACGGGTGTCAAAACTGCAGTGCTAACCCTGAGACTTCTACCACTGGGACAAGAAAGCTCTAGCAAATCTAATCTATAATCGTTCTAAGTGAACGGCACACATGTCCCTCCTCCAAGAATGAATTGAGGTTTCCCAGTCCAGTCTCCCAAAACAGACCTCGGTCGGTTCTCCAAGCAAAGATCGGTGTGAAGAACAGAATTAGAGCAAGGGTGAGCCCCTGGCGCCGCAGGCAGCCACACTGCCCGTTCAAAAGCAGCCCATCGCGGGGGCACGCTGGACAGGTCCGATCAGTCCCAACAGTCCCGAGAGTCCCGAGAAGCTTCGGCAGAGCAGCTCGGTTCCTCGCTCCCTCTCGCCTGGTGTCGCGGGCAGCACCGGGCGGTGGGCTCGGTGGGCTCTAGACCCCTTCCTCAGCGGATGAAAACCCGCTTCGCCATCCGGCAGGACCTCCCCGGAATCCCACTCCCCTCACCTGGCACCGGTCGTGTCCCAGAAGAAATGAAGGAGGCGGCGGCTGCAGCAGGTGCTTCCCACAGGGTCCCGGAGCGGCAGTGGCTGCTTCGACCCGCGGCCCTAATCTACCGCCGCCGCCATGATGGACGGTGAGGTCACCCCAGCGCGCTTCCGTCACCGCCGGCGTGGGGGCGGGGCTGGGGGCGGGGCCGAGCCGGAAGCCCGAGGCTCGGGCAGCTTGAGCGGAAGCCGTCTTACTGAGCCCGTTGGTTAGTTCGCGCAGGCGTGACTGACCTGTGTACGGAGCTGTCCTTTGCCTCTCTTTTCAGGAGCCACTCAAAGCCTGGATTCCTGGACTTCAGAAGTGTCCTCACTAAGTCATTTCCGGTGCTGAGTAGCGCGAAGATGAAGTCGACATGGCCAGCCAGCTCACCGCTGTGTGAGACTATAGAGGCTGATGGCATCGCAGACGCTCAGGTCTGCAGACCTGTGCATTCCAATACAGTAGATGCAAGGGCTGCCGGATTCGGGGTCGCAGCCACCTGCCAGGAAGTTGTCCTGAAAGGTGGGCAATTCACTTAAAGACAGGGTGGACAGACACACGGGTCTAGGCGGAGACAACTCAAAGCCCAGACACCATGATGATATAGGGAATCTTCTATTAGCGATCCATTTTTTTACTCACAATGCCTGGCAAGCTGCCTGGAACTGAACTGTACTTTGTGCTGATTAATGCGTGTTTTCTTGACTCGGTGAAAACACGTCCAACCTGTGGTCCGAGATAAGCTGTGAATGCTTCCCCACCCCACCCCCCACAAAAAAATAGATTTACTTAAAAGACGAGGATATGGTATGTGTAACCTGATTATCTCGTTTTCAGAGTATGAACTTTGTAGATGGCGATTGTGTCTCAATGTAAAAAGATCAAGATATCTAGGGTAAAAGAGGAACACCCTACTTTAGCTACCTCCTGTTTCGGGCTATGTTCTTGAAATGAAGTAACAAGGACAGCGTGAAAGATTAGGAGTTAGAAGGCGGTTGTAACCAATCAGATCAGAAGTGATAAATGTGCCCAAATGCTTGTACAGGCCTGTAATCCCAACACTAAGAAGGCTGAAGCAGGAGGATTGCCATTAATTAGAGGCTGACTTTGTCTTCAATGCTATTTCCAAGCAGTCAAAACTACATAGTGTAATCTATATAAATAATAAAATAAAATAAGCCTGGCAGTGGAGGTACACGTCTGTAATCCCAACACTCAGAAGGTTGAGGCAGGAGGATTGCCATAAATTAGAGGTTGACCTGGTCGCCAATGCTATTTTCAAGCAATCAAAACTACATAGTGTAATCTTATCTTTAATAATAAAAAATAAGCCTGGCAGTGGAGGTACATGCCTGTAATCCCAACATTGTGGAGGCAGAGGCAGGCAGATCTCTATGAGTTCAAGCCCAGCCTAGTCTACAAAGCAAGTTCCAGGACACCCAAGACTACACAGAGAAACCCTGTCAAGAAAGGAAGAAAGAAAACAGAAAAGATTAATTACAAAACTGACTGGGGGGGCAGCAAGATGGCTCGGCCAGTAAAAGCACTTGCTGGGTACCTAATGCACTGAGTTGATCTCTGGAAACCACACGGTGGAAGAAGAGAGCCAATGCTAGCAAGCTGATTTCTCTGACTGCACTGCCCAACCACCACCACCCTCTAGCACACACACAACGCACACCACACACACACACACACACACACACACACACAAGTGTTTCAAAGCAAAACTGATAGGAAGTGACCACCAGTGGCTATGTTTGAGGGCCGATGAAATGTTTAAAATTCACAGTGATCATGGGAGCACAATTACAAATATATTGAATTCTATTTAATTGTATGCTTTCGGTTTGTCTTTTGGGACTGTGCCCTCTGCTGACCTCAAACTTATTCTTTAGCCTAGAAAGACTTTGGATCTCATCCTGCCTCTGTCTCCTGAGTGCTGGAATCACAGTTATGAGCTAGCATGCCTGTGTGTTGCTGGGAATGGAACTCAGGGCACATGCTCTACAAACTATGATCCCAACCCTTTTGAATGTGTTTATTTTTTTAACTTTATGTATATGGGTGTTTTGCTTACATGTATGTCTGCAACATGTGGGTGCCTAGTGGCAGAAGAGGTCAGAAGAGGGTGTTAGATCACATGGAACTAGATGTGTCAATGTTTGCAAGCTGCCATGTAGGTCCTTTGAAAGAACAGCACTAAAAAGGGAGCAGGAGGGTCAAAAGTTCAAGATCATCTGCAGCTACTTACCGAGTTCTAGGCCAGCCCAGACTACCTGAGACCTTGTCTTGCTGTGGGATTCCCCTCTGTATGCTGTGAATACCGTTGGTTAATAAAGTAACTGCCTTGACCTGCTGATAGGGTAGAACAGAGGTAGGCAGGGGAAACTAAACTGAATGCTGGGAGAAGGAAGGCAGAGTAAAAGAGAAGCCACGTAGCCCCTCCTGCTGGAGACAGACGCCAGAACTTTAGCTGGTAAGTCACAGCCATGTGTCGATACACAGAATAATAGAAATGGGTTAAATTAATATCTAAGAGTTAGCCAATAAGAAGCTAAAGCTAGGGCTGGAGAAATGGCTCAGCAGTTAAGAGCATCACCTGCTCTTCCAAAGGTCCTAAGTTCAATTCCCAGCAACCACATGGTGGCTCACAACCATCTGTAATGAGGTCCGGTGCCCTCTTCTGGCCTGCAGGCATACATACAGACAGACTATTGTATACATAATAAATAAATAATTTAAAAAAAAGAAAAGAAGCTAGAGGTAATGGGCCAAGCAGTGGTTTAATTAATACAGTTTCTGTGTGATTATTTTGGGGCTGAGCAGCCGGGAACCAACAAGCAGCCTTCCTTACAGCATTGTCTTTAATGGAAATGGCTTGTCTGTTTTGCTAACTTGCTTCTAGTTCACCAGTTGGGAATGGAAATAGGTAGGAACAATGATCGTGCAGATTTATCGTCTGTGACTAACCTGACAGGAATTTGGGCCAGCAGTTTTCAAAGGCACAAGCAAATAAGGTTACACATGAGTAGACTTGTTTCTTAAACTTCATTTGAAAATTTATTTTAATAGTTTCTCTACAAGACCAAAGATAATGTCAAAGGATCCTACATTTAGGAAACTATGAATTGTTAATACTTGAAGGTTTAGTATGCTCTTAGATTTAAACGAGGCTGGCATGGGACTCTCCAAATCACTGCCTCTACTTCCCCAAATGTTAGGATTATAAGAGTACACAGATGTTCTGTGCTGTCTCAAGAATGATCTGTGGTAGCTGTGCTTTCAGTTTCGACTGAGTGAGTTTATTAAGTATATAGCAAACGAATAAATAGCAAACACCATATAGGAATAGTAGATAGATATTAAAACATCATTGAATCAGTAGTTTTCAACATCCAGCACAGGACAACTGAGGAAGCACAGTTGAGAAAGTAAAAGGTAACTTACAAACATCCAACAGGAACGGACTGGGGAAGTTGAGGCAGTCAGCTGGGATTCCCACTGACTGGAGATTCCCAGCTGGAGATTTGTCTCCAGAGATGAGTTGCCCATGGAACACACGGCTGAACTTCCGGCCTCCAGTTCCTACTGCAGGTATTTTATTTTATTTTTTTGCTTTTTCGAGACTGGGTTTCTCTGTGGTTTTGGAGCCTGTCCTGGAACTAGCTCTTGTAGACCAGGCTGGTCTCGAACTCACAGAAATCCGCCTGCCTCTGCCTCCCAAGTGCTGGGATTAAAGGCGTGCGCCACCACCTCCTGACTGCAGGTATTTTTATATGATGAGAAAAATAGCAGTGATAACTGTTGGAAATAATTTACCTTCCAGCCGTTCACAAAGGGCATATGCTTTAACTCGGCTTTTTTTTTTTTTTTTTTTTTTTTT